TGGAAAATAAATAAATTCCATTTTAATTAAAGTAGTCTGAAAAGTATTACTGCAAGTAATTTATCTGTGTTTCTTAATGCAAAAGTGCCAGGTGATTAAACACTGTCACTAGGTGGCAGTAGAAGGCTATAAAAAATAAAAGAGACAGAACTGTTGACGATCTCTGTGTTTGTATTTCTTCAATTCCTGCGAGCATATCAGTCTTATGTTCAACTCAACAGGCACGGTATTCACACAATATAAAATTGTGAGCAAATTTAAACTAGAAGTCATTATATATCCCTACATGTACTTTTTGTGATATTCTGGATTTGGTGCTGTGGGATTTCTGGAATGTAAAATACATGGCATGGCCCAAAAAAGTGTTGGGACACATTGCTGTATAACCTCACAGACTAAAAGAGCATGTTTGGCCTCATACTCAATATGAATTCATTGTGTCATTCAACTGCTTGAATCTGCACTTCTTGTAATAGAGTATTCTAGAAGAAAAGAGAGGAAACATTGTGATAAGACTCTTCCATTACGGCCAGAACTCAATTGTCCGAGGGAAGAAAGGAAGACATGAAAGGGAAAAAAAGAAAAATGTTGTCATGGAGACAAAACACTTTGAACATGCTGAGATCTAGCAGTTGCTCCCATAGAAGCAATAAAAACAAAAGCTTCCTGACTGAGCAGGCACTAACTATTAACACGTCGCACCGAGTTAGAGGCAGTGAAGAAAAGGAAGTGTCACCCAGCGCTGCACTGAGCAGCAACAAGATGACAGCCACAAAATAAAAATGTCACCTCTTCTCCATCTCCGGAAATAATGCTGTAAACAGTCAGTGGTCTAGAGAGACACCTCATCTAAACACAGCAACCGGCAACGCAACTCACACCTGAGGGGCTGCTCTGTCCTCAGCTCCACTCTGCTGATCTATCTGATCATGTCAGCCTCACTTTACTGTTCATCAAGCATGGAAGAAAGAGCAAGGCCCAGGGGAACCGAGAAAGATGATTATGTTCTTCACATGTTAGACCTGGAAAACACAGTCTGTGTAGAACACACAAGGTACAGGCTGTCTCCTAGTGGAGAAGATCGGGACTGAATCTGCAGGTTCGAGGATTTTGACCAGTGGGGAAAAAATGTCAAGCATTATTATGCAAAGGTGAGGGTAGGAACGGTCATAAACTTTGGGTCAGGACCGAAAGAACAAGATCCTCCGCCTCCCTCTGGAAGTGATCTGGACATTTCTCACCGGGAGGAGACCCAGAGGGAGACCCAGGACACGCTGGAGCAACTATGTCGCTCAGCTGGCCTGGGAACGCCTCGGGATCCCCCCAGAAGAGCTGGAGGAAGTGTCCGGGGAGAGGGAAGTCTGGGTGACTGTCACGCCCACAGATAAGCGGAGGATCATGGATGGATGCATTACTCCTGCAAAGTCTTGTTTGAAACATGAAGATTTTGGTTCCCAATATATTTAAAACTCAGAAGGTCGATAAAGACAGAATTGAGGTGTTTGCTCTTTAAAGGCTGCATTCATGGTAAAACACATTCTGTGTCTACTTACACAAAGTTTCATTCCTCTCCTTCCACACGTCGACCTGGCCTCTTTGACTGTTTACTTATTGATTTTTGTTTTTGTTTATAACTAAAGAAAATCAATAAAAGGAGAAAACAAAACCAGCGCCTCGCCATGAGTCCTATAAACAACAATAATAAATACTAACAGACTGCACACTTTACCAAGGACCTGGACTCCTGCTTGCAAATGCGTGCATCAAAAGAGTTTTAGAATGTAATGAAGAAAACACATTTATCCCATTCTGCAATTCCCTTTGTGCTTCACCCTAAAGAGGAAACTCCTCGCATACTTTGCATAATTTATTGCCTCCGATTCTCTGTAAACCTTGTATTTTTAGAGGCTTTCTCGCATTATTTCTTCTGTAGCCTTCATATCTCTCGGCCTTACTCGCTCTATTGGTTTCTTGGCTTTTATGTGCTTCCTGTCTATTAGTGTTTTTTATTACCGGGAACTCTGTGTATGACTTTGGGACCAGGTTGCCATTTTACTCATCCAGTATAGTGTTGTATTTTCTGATTGCTCGTGCCGCCAGGGAACGACAGGGGAAGAGGTGATATGGCTGTAAATCACACCGGTCATTCCAACCTCCGATACCACTAATATCTTCACATTAACTTGACAACTGCCATTTAAAATAAGGCCAAACAAGGAACCTCAAAACTAAAGTGATATAGTCAACATTTTTATTTTGCTTGTCTTAGTTTGTGAAAGCAGAACTTCTTAAATCCCCTCACACCTGGGTGTCAGGACAGTACTTGTACCTCTGAACACAGAGCAGAATACTCACTCCGCTGTGGCTGGGAATGATTTCACGTATGAGCTCAGTCATATCCTGGAGCACTGAGGGAAAAATAGTTTCATTACGATTGTGCTCCATGAGCTGTAGGCAAGTAATTACACCACAGCTGAAAAACAGATATTACTTTCTCCCCTGGACCACAGCTCTGTAGTCACTGGGTAAAAACTCTAATTCTACGTAGGGGCCTTAGGTTTTCTATCAAAGTCCATTTTAAGAAATATCAGTGATGTGAAGATGTAGCAGCTACTGTCAGACACAAGGTCAGTATAACATCTAACACGGGTATTTTCCCACAGGATGTCATGCTAACAGGCAGACTCCCACACACTGTTGCGTGCAGCGTGGTGCTAAACAACTTGGCTGTGGGACAGAATAGTTGACACATCTGAAAAAATCATTATGAATGAGTACCCTGAATATTTCAGAATATTTGGAGGTCATGTCTTTTTGGGTCGTTCTTGGGATTTTGGGTCACATTGTGAAGAATAACCGGATCTGAATTTGAGGTGGCCTGAATTTCCATAGACTCAAGACCAGTGACATTTAAATGAGAGGCTCATGATTGGTCGGACTACCTGTCTCTGTCACTGTATTAAACTCTTCTGTTGTTATGAGTGGGACAGGTTTTTCAACTCGCCAGTAATTCTGTCTGGTGAGTGTCCAATTACCCTAATCCTAATCTCCATGTGTTAGGATTGTGGGAAGAAATCGACATAATCCTGGATTATTCCTTGAAATAAAGGAAAAAATAAAAAAAAACAGAAAACAGTGTTTGCACCCGTACTTTTCAACTTTTTAGAGACAGGAAAATGTGCTCTGAATATATTTGCTCTATATAATTCTACAAATAGAAGGTAATTAAAGTGAGTGACGCAGAAATGATTTATCCAGCTGTCTTGATAGAACAGCAACTGAAATAACAAGGAGCTGTAAAAAAAAAAAAAAAAAAAAAAGGAATGATTAATACAGATAGAATTATATGCAAATTCACTTTGTTCCTTTTTTTGCATCAGCACCTCCGGTCCAACACAGAGGGGATGCTTGATGTCTTCAGGGATACAGTACAGACGTGAACGTAAAAATAGTGAATTAATGCAGAAGCACTAAGCAGAGGTCAGATAGCTGTTGAGACACTCATTAAGGCGGGATGATTTGGACTAATAGGATCCGAGCTGATCTGAGGTCAGCCCAGCCGAGGACAGAATGGTCCTCCGCTCGGAGACCAGATGACACGTCACTGCAGGCAAACACTCTGCTCTAATATTATCTTTACAGAAACGCCCATCCCTTGCATCCCAAGGTCATCCATCACTTTTGTTCATTCTCTCACTCTGATTTTCCAAGCCTCGCCCCGCCTTCTTTTCTTTTTCTGTTTTTTTTTTCTCCAACTAATCCTCTTCTGTCTTTGTGTTCTCTGTCACACCAGTGGCTGTTGAATTATTGATAAGATGTTGAGCTGGTGAGATTTCTCCTGCTGTGGGCTTGTTTACTAGTTGTGGTTTGTACCACTTATTCCTTTTGTTGTCATGCTGTGCCCGTGTGTGAATGCGTACATGTTGAAGTAGGTAGACTCTGATAATTAACTCTGATGGTGAATCATGACCAGACGTTGTAAATCAGTTGCTGCATTATCAGCGGGAGCGATGGCAGACGCAGACAAGGATTGGTGCACACAGACAGGTGGAGTCACGTCAACCATAGGCACGACTGTAAGCGTGTGAACTGTCATCAGTTATTTTGACTTGACTTTAGTTAATCACACCACATCCAAGATGTTATTTTCAATTCTATTTTATAATTTGCGTTTAAAGATCGTTATGTTCGATTAATCGTGATTATTTGTGATCTTCATTCATTACAGTTTATACATCCTGATTCATTGAAATAAATCAATATTCAGATAGATAGATAGATAGAGAGATAGATAGATAGATAGAGAGATAGATAGATAGATAGAGAGATAGATAGATAGATAGAGAGATAGATAGATAGATAGAGAGATAGATAGATAGATAGAGAGATAGATAGATAGATAGAGAGATAGATAGATAGATAGATGACGACTGAACAACTGAGACACAGAACATGAGCCAATTCGAGACACAAAACAACCACCGCAGCTCTGTCAACAGGTTCACCCTGAAGGACAATTTCCAACACTGAAAGAAATTTCTGCTGAAAACACTTCAAGAATCTGAGGGAGAGAAGCTTTCCTTCAGCAACTGCCAACAAATTAATTACTCCACACTCGTTGAATGAAGAGGAAAGAAACAGAGGCGACACTGGCAAGGAGACAATGGGCCTAATCTCTTCATGCTGGAAGGAGGAGGGCTGCATTGTTGAACCCCGCTGAGCTGCTCCGAGGGATTCAAAAACCGGAAGACGCGAACAAAAAAGTATGGATGTCGTCTTCCAGGGAAGTTTCTCTGAGCCTTAGTGGGTAAGCATATTTTCAGCTTGTTTCGATCCAAGAGCTATTGAAGACAAAGTCAAAAGACAATTGTACGCAACAGGAAGGAGGTATTAGTCGTAGGTCCCTTGTAATGTGGTGGTGGTGTTTGTACAGGCCGTCCTGCACATCCTGCGAGTGCGATTGCTGGAGTACAACACCATCTACACGTACTGCGGTGAGTGCTGGGAGGGGATTACGAGGGACCGTTGTGGTGTTATTGAGAGGCAAGGAACGCATGTGGCATGAGTGCGTGGGGTTTGGCTTGTGTGAGAGTTGGTTGTAGTTGTAGTGGTGTTTATGAGGCAGTAGCTCAGGACCAGAAGGCATGTGGGTCACTGTGGATCGTGATATGTATGTGATGTAGTAGAAGCAGGTAAAGAGAGGACAAGTGTGTGTGTGGTGTTGTACAATAGGAAAGTTCATTTGTAAGCGATAGCGGAGTGAAGGTGTTGTGTTTTCAGAGAGGGCGTTGGCAGAAGAAGTGGAATGTTTGGGTCACTGTTGTGTTATAGTTGAAAAATGTAGTAGTGAGCAACTGAAGGTGTGTGACTGGAGGCCTTGTGTTGATGCATGTGCTAGTTGCTTGTAGTGTGGTGTTTAGGAGGCAGTAGGAAAGGGAGTAGAAGGAATGTGTAGCTGTGAATGTGAAGGTGGTGGACAATGGGATGGTGCTAGAGGTTTTGATGTGAGTGTGGCTGCTGTTGTGGAAATGTGGTAGCGGTGGAGAAAGTGAAGCTATAAAGTGTGTATTGGGCTGTGTGTGAGGTTGGTAAGTAGAGTGAGGAGTTATGTCAGAGAGGGTTGTGAGCAAAGTGTTGGTGTTGGCTTAATGTGGTGTAGTAGAAACATGCAGGTTATGTTGAAGTACAAGGCCCGTTGTTGTGTGGGTACTGGATGTGTAATGTAGGGGTGGCAGTATGCAGCTGTGGCAGTGGAGTGTTTGTGGCGTTGGTGGAATGTGCAGTTTGTGCTTTGATGTGCAGGTTGTAAGTGAGTGATAGTGAAATGGGAGTGTGTTTTCAGGGAGGCTGTTGTGTCAGAAGAAGTAGGGCCCTTTGGGTGGATGTAGTGAAGTGGTGCTGAAGGTGGGGTTGGTAGGTGCAGCTGTGTGTTTAGAAGAAATGTGTGTTAGTCGTAGTTGTTGTGGAGAAAGTGAAGAAGCAAAGTGTGTGTAGTTGCGTCGTTTGAAGTAGAGGATGTAGGTGGTGGAAGTAGTAGTTAGAAGTGGAGTTGAGATTGTGTATGTTTTCAGAGAGGGTAGTGTTGGCGTGACGAGGTTGTTACGAGGCAAGTAGGTAAAGAGTGGAAGGCGTGGTTGCTTGTGAATGTTTTGTGAAGTTGTCATGTGTTGTGTTGAGGGTGAGGAAGGAGGTATTAGTCGTAGGTCCCTTGTAATGTGGTGGTGGTGTTTGTACAGGAGAAATAGTTTTGTGCAGGTTGTGTGTAGAGGTCCAGAGTAGTACGAGATAGTGGAGTTTAAAAGGGGTGTGTTTTCAGAGAAGAAGTTGTGCAAGGTGGCAGGAGAGTTTGTGTGTGTTGTTGTGAATTGATGCTGTTGTACTTGTTGTTCTTGTCTCCGAAGGCATGGTGTTGGTGGCTATCAACCGGTACGAGTAGCTGCACATGTTTTGGGGAAGACGTGATGGACGCTTACAGCGGTGGGGACACGGGCGACATGGATCCTCACATGTTGTCTGTGGCCGAGGACGCCTCCAGCACTTAGAGGTAGGTTTTCCTGGAGGAGGGGGAGGGAGAAGCAGCACACGGGAGGGATGTGCGGAGTGAGTGTTGTGACACATGTTGTGTTTTGTGTTTTCACAGAGAGAGCAGAAGAAGCAGTCCATCTTCAGCAGCGGAGAGTGGGGCTGGGGGAAGTTAGGCCAACTTGGCAGACACCGTGTTCCCCGAGGCGGTCGGAGGGGTGGCGCAGCGTGGAGGACGGAGTGTTGGCGTAAAATGATGTGATGGAGGTGGAAAGAGTTAGTGGTTGCTGCTTTGGCGTAAGGTGGCAAAAGTTGTTTGTGAAAGTGTAAAACAATGTTGTTGTTATGTGTAAGAATGTAATAAAATGTGTAATAAAAAGTGTGGAAAAGAAACAAGGTGTATTTATGTCATGTTGAAAGAACAGAAGTTTTGACAATATAGGAGGGGGTAAAACAGTTTTTATTAACTGACATATTAAACATATATTAAACATATTAAAGTTTTTAAAAAGTTACATTAAGTTAATTGTACCTCATTAAATGAACAAGTAGTTTAAAAGTTTTCATCCATCAAATGTGTATAAGTGTCAACAAATAAGTGTCAACACACGTAGGGTTTTTTTGTTGTTAACACACAGAAAATAAGTGTGTTAACGGCCAAAAACGGCCAAAAAAAAAACTTTTTCTAAGTGTCTAGACACTTTAAAAAAAAAAAAAAAAAAAAAAAAAAAAAA